GCAGGAGAGCACAGTTGGAGAAGAAATTGGTGGAAAGTGCTCGGGGATAGGCATTTTATACACAGGGCTATCTTATGTCGAGTCTGTAGTTGTTTCCATCGCTGCATTATAAGCCCTTCCACGCCGCCTGCCCAATCTGCAGTAACGTCTACTGCATCTGTTAGCACAGATACTTTTTGGTGGTATGGGATACCAAGAAAGGCACTGAGCTTCATTCCTGAATCAGCATAGTATGGACATTCTTAATCACTGCGACTCTGAGCTAGTGCTGACCATAGGAAATGAGGTGGCCTCTTCAGAAAGCCACAGAAGTACTGAGAAAGGCTTTGCATGTCAACAGAGTTGGAATGAGGGTTTGAGCTCATCTCAGCCTAGATCCCAAGATCTGAGAGCCTGCAGATAGGATTTAGGCTTGTCAGCATGAGCAGTCCTTGCCCTGACTCTGCTTTCCAGACTGTCACTTCTCATGCTCAGTGAGGCCATGTTCCCAGTTGATCTTTTCACCAATGTCGGGACCAGGAAGGGCTCAGGTGGATACAAGTGGGGATGGGGAGAGCACGGCAGGATAATTAAAGGAGTCTAGCATTTTCTCCCTCTCTATCCTCCCATTCCTGTGAAGAGGCCTCTTTCCTCTGTCTCCTATTGCGCCATCTAGCCTCCTTCAGCCACTGGGCCTATAGATTTCTCCTCCACATTAGCTAGCAGATCCATTCCTCTCCTCCCTGATTTAGTCCAAGTCCTCATCATTGGTTCCTGGACCACTGCAATGTCTTTGGCCCGATGCTTGTCACACCCCCATCCTCCACCACTGGCCAGGCTATCTCTGTTTCTCTGCTTCTCTGGCTCATAGTAGAAATATATAAATAAACTTTTTTTAAAAATTACATTGATGGGACCAGCAGATGGTGTAATGGTTACATCACTGGACTCCCACGTAGTCGACGGCAGTTTGAGTTCCGGAACCGGCAGCTTAAAACTCACACTGGATGTGTGTGCATGAGTGCCCAAAATCTTGAGAGGAGAATGGAGAAGAAGGGATTGCAGCATGGGCATCCCTTCTACGGGGTGATTTCCCATTTTCTGACTCTGTCTCTCCAGCAAACACACGTCCCCTGTAGCAAAAATCTCTCTTAAAAAAAAAAAAAAGAAAAGAAAAGAAGAAGAAGACATTGAGGGGCCAGCAGATGGTGAAGTGGTTTCATTGGTGGACTCCCCTGTGGCCGACTGCTGCAGTTCAAGTCCTGGACCTGGTAGCTTGAAAATCATACCAGACACGTGTGTGCGTGTCCAAGATCCCAGAAGGAGAATGGAGAAGGGATTGCGGCATGGCCATCCCCCCTGGGGAGTGATTTCTTACTTTCCATTACACTGTCTCTGTCTCTCCGGCAAGCACACGTGTCCTAAGGCAAAATCCTCTTAAAACAAAAAAGAAAAGACGTTGATTCTGAATATAAATCTTAGAAAACTAAGAAAGAGATGGGGCCAGCAGGTGGTGTGATGGATAAAGGTGCTAGATTCCCACATGGCCGACCCAGATGTGGGGACTTGCTTTCTTGCTTTTCCCTTCTTTCTCTCTGTCTCTGTCTGGATAAGTTAAAAAATAATCATAATAATAACAAATGGAATTAAATAAATAATTCTTTTAAAAAAGGAAGAGAGGGTAAACTGGACAGGCCAGTGGCTGCGCTGAGTCACACGTGTGTGTGCTTCCCTCAGCGTGATTGCTTATCGCACTATTACAGCACTCAGATTACTCTAGAGTCTGATTTACTCCATTACAGAACGTGACTGCCCGCCCATCATAGTTTATTGCTTGCCTGGTATGTCTGCCCACATAGATATAAAACAACATCTGTTTGCTGGCAAAAAGTGAAAAATAATAAATCCTATTCTGGCAAAATGGTGGGGAAACTTATCCTCCCACCTGGCCAGTGGCAATATACATGAATTTGAAAAGGTTTTCTTATGAAAGCAAATGGCGGGGCCAGCAGGTGGTGTGGTGCATAAGGGCGCTGGATTCCCACATGGCCAACCATGGTTCAAGTCCCGGACCTGGTGGCTTGCTTTCTCACTTTCCCTTTCTCTCTCTCATCAAAAAAACAAAACAAAACAAAACAAAAAACAACAACAAAAAACTAAACAACAAATGGAAATAAATAAATAAATAATTCTTTAAAAAAAGAGAGCAAATGGCAATACGTTTAAAAAATAGTCTTATCATTTGATTAATTCATATCATTTCTAGAAAATCAGCCTAAGAAGTAATCTGAAGGAAGTAACGTGCAAATGTGTCAATCCGTTCACCTCAGCATAGATAGACAGAAGGCAAATGTTACGTATTATTGAAGTAAATGGCAGCATGGTCACTTGATGGGATAGGATGTGGCAATCGAATGATAATTAGGAGAAAACACTGGGAGAAAATACTGGGAGAACATAAAAAATGAAAAAAGGGGAACCAGCAGTTAGCGTAATGGCTATGTCGCTGGACTCCCACGTAGTCAACTGCGGTTCGCGGCCCGGATCCGGTGGCTTAGAACTCACGCCGGGCGTGTGTGCATGTGTGCCCAAGATCCCAAGAGGAGAATGAAGGAGAAGGGATTGCGGCGTGACCATCCCCCCTGGGGGGTGATTTCTCGCTTTCTGTCTCTGTGTCTCTCTCTGTCTGTCTGGCGAGCGCACGTGCCCTATAGCGAAAACCTCTCCAAATAATAAATAAATAAATAAATAAATAAATAAATGAAAAAAGCAAAAGACAAAATTGTACTATGCCATAGTTACATCTTCATTTGACAGTACCTGAATACGTGGCTAGAGATGACTGGAGGAAACCATGAGAAACAACTTTGGATTTTTAGTAGGTAAGAGAGTGGGTTTCTCCCCTGCCCCCACTCCAGCCTTTCTATTAAGCATAAAAATGAACAAATTTTGGTACCACATCATAAGAGAATGTCTGGCCCCCTGCTCCACAAACAGGCTAGTTTTCTTACGTTTTGGAGATGTTCGGTGTGAGGCGTTTGCCCTTAAAGGAGCCTCCAAAGTTGGAGATTGTTAACTTGACAGCGAGTTTATTCCAGGATTCCTACATTTTTCAGAAGTCCTTCTTTGGATACGAATTGCTTTTTGCTGTTACTCGTCTTCCTTGTTTGTTTGGTTCTAAGAATGTGAAGTCAGTCACATCCTGTCACCCAGCGGCTCTCTGGTGGCAATGCTGGCGGGGGAGAGGGTACACCTGTACCACAGTCACAGTGGTGTCATTTGTATTTCTATTTTTTGAATACGTTTTCATAAAAAGGAAGCATACGCAAATGTCAAAATGATCTATACTTAGGAAGTCAAGGAAGAGAATGCAACACAGCGAACTCTGCAGTAGTCGTTCTCAGTTGGTGGAGTTTGGAGTCAGTGTTTTTCCTATTTTTCTCTGTAGTTTTAAATTTTTCAGAAGGGAAAAAAAGATCCTAAACAATTAAAAAGAAACTCCCAAGTCTCGTGTCCTTTGGGTTCAGTAATTCCTGCTCTTTTAATTTTTCTTTTTTAGAGAGATTTTTGCTACAGGGCACGTGTGCTCTCCAAAGAGTCGGAGAAGAGACAGAAAGCGAGAAATCACTCCCCACGGGGGATGACCACACTGTAATCCCTTCTCCTCTTCTCCTCTTGGGATTTTGGGCATGCACGCACACATGCCCAGCATGAGTTTTAAGCCGCCAGGACAGGGACTCGAACTGCGGTTGACTATATGGGAGTCCAGCAATGTAACCATTATACCTTCTGCTGGTCCTTCTTTTAATTTTTAAAGATTTTTTTTTTGGGGGGGGAAGAGGATTTTTGCTATAGGGCACATGAACTTACCAGAAAAACAGAGAGAGACAGAAAGTGAGAGATCACGCCCCCCCCCCCTGGGGGGATGGCCATGCCGCAATCCCTTCTCCTCCATTCTCTTCTCGGGATCTTGGGCACGCATGCACACACGCCCGGTGTGAGTTTAAGCCACTGGGTCTGGGACTCGAACCGCAGTTGACTACATGGGAGTCCAATGACATAGCCATTACGCCAACTGCTGGTCCCCAATTTTTAAAGATTTATTTGTTTCTTCTAGGAGCACTCTTGCATGAGATACATAAACACACAGACAGACATTCCCAATGGGATTTTGACTCCATGATTCACCCTCAGCCTCAGTCAGTCCAGGATCATGGTCACACCTATGCTAGAATACTCAGAGAGATCTGCAGATGTCAACCAGGAACCTTTCCATGTGGGTCAGCCCCCCAAGAACGTTGCACTTTTACCATTATACCACCTTCTGGCCCCCAAGGTTTTTATTTATTTATTTTTTTAAATTTATCAGAAGGCACATGCACTCACTAGGGGTTAGAGGGTGAGAAAGTACTCTGTCATGGGGTGGTCATGGCACAATCCCTTCTCCATCCTTCCTCCTTTGAGAATCTTGGACGCACACACACATACACGTCTACTGTGTTCCTAAAGCTGCCAGGTCTAGGACTTGAACCACACAATTGCTGTGTGAGATCTGGCTCCGTTAACCACCAGATCATGGGCTGCTTCTGTCCCCTCCCGCTCTACCCAATGCCCACTTTTGATGCCTTTTGAGCATCCTCTGTGAGATACACATGTGCAAAGGGTCCGGGAAAGGGAGTGGCTTTAGGGACAAGCAAATGCATAAGGCAATGGAAATGACAAAGCTGAACCTAGGTGTCCCCTAGAATTAGTCTTTCAGAGGGCAAGAGCAGATGGATCAATTGAAACCTCACTTCAGCCCAGCACATCTTGATCCTGAGGCTTCCGGAGGGCAAGATACCTCATAAATCCCTGAATGCCAGAGACACCGTGACACAAATACCAAAATGGTGGCATTCCAGGTCTTTCATCCCTGAGCTCCCAGTTATAGCCTGAAGTTCACACAGTCAATGCCTCGACCCCACTCTACCTATAGCACAATACCGTGAGAGGTCTTTCATAGAGAAAGTACCGGAACTCACCATCATGTCCAGAGAGTCAGACCTGCCTCACTCCCAGTCATTATCTCATTTCAACCTGAGAGGCAGACTTCATCACTGCGGACACACACATGAGCAAGTAGAGGCTCAGAGAGGTGAAGTGATGCCTGAGGCTGCCCAGCCAGAGATCAGCAGGGCAGATTCTTCAAGGCCAGTGATTCTCCAACCCCATTGGGTGATCGTATCAAGGTCCCACCCAGCACCCTGGCAGTCACTCACACGGACACATGCCCTGATGTGAACACTGGCAGAACACACTCCACAGAGAAAATAGGAGGTCGTCCCTGGGAAAGCCAGGGTGCTTACCTGAGCTGTAAGACCATCCATACGTGAGCAGCTGAGGAGACGGCAGTTGCCTGACTGCCTCGGTTTAGGCACAGCCGGGGTGAGGCGTTTCTCGCCCACAGGCCTCACCCACCCCTGCACAGTGAGCACCAACCCAACCACACTTCCCCTTTCTGGCCAGGCACAGGACAGAGATGCAAGCGTGTCACCAGGCAACCAGTCCCTTTTTCAGGGAAGCTGACTACCCGAGGCTTTCCAGGAGGTGGAATCTTCTTACTGCCTCTTATTGCTCATATAAGGCCTACCAGAGGACCATCGTGCTATGGGAGGGGTTTCTGGGCAGGGCTCAGACTTCAGGGTGGACACTTGGCAGGGTCCCCACAGATGTGTCTGCCCTTAGCATTCCTGGACACAGCAACATATAACTTAAGAAAAGGGGCAGAAGAGGCCAGCAAGTGTTGTGGTGGTTAAGGTGTTAGACTCCCCACACAGCTGACCACGGTTCGGGTCTTGGACCTGGCAGCTTGCTTTTTCACTTTCTTTCTCTCCTCTTCCCTCTGTCTCACTCTGGTAAGCACATGTATCCTGTAACAAAAATGAAAAAATAAATAAATAAAATTAAATAAGTAATTCTTAAAAACAAAAACAAAAACAAAAACTTTAATTAAAAAACAAATCTTGGAATCTTGGGCATGCATGCATATGCACCCAGCATGATTTTCAAAGCACTGCATCCTGGACTCAAACATTTTAGTTAGCCATGTGGGATTCAGCACCTAAACCTCCACACCACCTGCTGGTCCACTGTTTTACATTCTCTATCTCACTATATCTTCATTTACCTCGAAGATCATCTCCATTTTACTAGTTAGAACATTGAAATTAGAGCAGTTACACCACTCAAATGTGCACAGTGAAGGAGAGAACACTGAGCCCATTCTGTCCTTGTGTAAAAACTGTGCTCTTTCTTATTAAGCCCATTCAAAGTTTGGCTGCTCTTCTTTCTTTTTTTTTTTTAGAGGTTTTTGCTACAGGGTGCATGCGCTCGCCAGAAAGACAGAGAGAGATGGAAAACGAGAAATCACCCCCCAACCCCATGGCCACGCCACAATCCCTTCTCCTCTATCCTCCTCTCTGGATCTTGGGCACGCACACATGCCTGGCGTGAGTTTAAGCCGCCCTGTCCAGGACTACACCCGAACCACGGTTGACTAGATGGGAGTCCAGTGACATAACCACTATGCTATCTGCTGGCACCAGAGACTTTTTTGTAAGTATTCATCATCTTAAGTAATTCCCTTTTTTGTTTTGTTTTGTAATGAGAATACTTAAGAAAATCTTAGCAAATTTCAAGTAAATAGTACGTTATTAACCATACCTAACATGCTGTACATAGAGCCCCAGAACCTACTTATCTTACAGCTTACACACTTTGGTCAGCCTCTTCCCATTTCCTGCGGCCCTAAGCCCTGGTAACCATTATGCTCTTCTGTTTCTGAGTTCCACTGTTTTAGATTTCACATAGACGAGGGATGATAAGTATTTGTCTTTCTTTCTCTGGCTTATTTCATGTAGTGGAATATCCTCCAGTTTCATCCATGTTGCCACAATAATAAGCTCTCCTTGTTGTGCTTGTGTGTGTGTTATTTTAAACAGACTCTTGCTATGTCACGATCTTCTTGCCTAGGCCTCCCAATAGCTGGACGGCAGGCACACACCAGCACACCGAGTGGGCTGGGAATTAAACTTGAGCATCCCGTGTGGCCTCAGCCTGCCGAGGAGTAGCATCAACCGGCACAACTTACAACCATGACTGGGCCCATTCTCCATTTTGTTTGTTTTTGTTTGTTTTTGCTACAGGGTGTGTGTACTTACTGGAGAGATAGAGGGAGGATAAAAAGAGAGAGGGAGAGGTGAAGTGAGAAGTCTCTCCCCAGGGGAGATTGGCCACACCATCCCCCTTGGGATTTGGGGCACACATAAACATGTGCATGGTGTGATTTTCCAGCTGCCTGGTCTGGGACCGGAACTGCACAGTTAGCTATGTAAAATACAGTCATCTTGACATCATGCCACCTCCTGGCCCCCATCCTTACTTTTTAAGATTCAGTAAAATATTCTGTGTGTGTGTGTGTGTGTGTGTGTGTGTGTGTGTATCACATTTCTTTAGCCATTCATTTATTTTTTTCGCTATAGGGCATGTGTGTGCTTGCCTGAGAGATACAGAGAGATACATAGAGACAGAAAGCGAGAAATCACCCCCCAGGGGGGATGGTCACGCCGCAATCCCTTCTCCTCCATTCTCCTCTCGGGATCTTGGGCACGCATGCACACGTGCCTGGTGTGAGTTTAAGCCATCGAGTCCGGACTCGAACAGCGGTCGACGACATGGGAGTCCAGCGACATAGCCATTACGCTAACTGCTGGTTCCCTAGCCATTCATTTTTGATGGACATCAAGGTTGATTCCACATTTTGGCTATTGTGACTAATGTCTCAATGAGTGTGCAGTATTTTCCACTGCACTTTCAGCCTCTAAATGCCCTTATAGAACACCATAAAGTGTTTTTTTTTTTTAACCATTCAGCTATTCTATGTCCTTCTATTGGATGATTTAGTCCATTTACCTTTTTTTTTTTTAAGAATTATTTTATTTAACTTTATTTAATTTAATCAGAGAGAGAAAGAGAGAGAGAGAGTAAGCTGCCAGGTCTGGGACCTGTTGGCCATGTGAGAGTCCAGTGCCCCTGACCACCATGCCACCTGCCGGCCCCAGTCCATTTACTTTTAGTTTCATAATTGATAGGGAAGGTTGACCATTGCCACTTTGTTCATTGTTTTCTGACTGTGGTGTTTCCATTTTCCCTTTTTTATTCTCTTGCTGCCTTCTTTTGTAATGATTTTCTATAGTGGTGTGCTTTGAATCCTTTGTTTTGCTCCCTTGTGTATCTAGTGTAGGTTTTTTTTTTTTTTATAGTTGCAGAGGTTTTTTTTAATTTAAATTTATTTATTTCCATTCATTCACTGTACATGATTACAGCATACAAAATGAGATTTTCCATCCAGAGTACACTGTATATTGGCTCAATCAAGCACATCAACATACATGTTATCATCAACAAATAATTTTCCATTTCTTGTTTCCTGTATGTTTTGCTTTTTTTTCGCTATCCTTGATTCCGTATCTCTTACCCTCTGCCATCTCCCATTCTCCTCCCACACTGTCTCTGGTATCTGTTTGCTTTCTATACTTTTATTCCCCCCACATTTTATTGAGTCACTAAAGATCTTAATTAATTTAATTATTTTCATAGCAAGCACAGCTGATTTTCATAGCAAGCACAGCTGATATACACATTTCTATGAACAGAAGTCCAACTTTAGGCATAGGCCTCAGTGAGTAGAATGAACATCCTATAAAGTAGCACCTAGCTGGGGTTATATATCTTACTGCAGTCATTGTATAGGTATTTTTAATGCTTTTTTTTTTTTAATTTCAAGAAAAACAATTTTAGGTTTTTTTTCTGAACCTTTTCTTTTTTTTTTTAAACTTAATTTACATTCATTCCCTAAGCATCGTCATAGCATACAAAATGTGATTTCCCATCCAGAATATACTGCATAGTGGCTTAATCATGCATGTTATTATCAACAATTTTCCATTTCTAGTTTCTAGTATTTATTTTTTTACCCCTATTTCTGACCCTCTGTTCTTTTCCACCCTCTTCTCACACTATCTCTGGTGTCTACAGTTGTCTTCCATTCCTCCACCTCCCCCCCCCCCCCCTTAC